GCTCGCTTCGACAGCCCTTACGAAATCATTAAGGCGTTTCCCGAGACGTCCCATTACACGCTTGACATGCCAAATCAACCGAATGTGTTCCCGTCATTTTACGTTGACCAGTTAAAACGTTACGTCCCGAATGACCCTACCTTGTTCCCGGGTAGAGAGCGCCGTATACCACAACCAACTATCATCGATGGATACGAGGAATTCGATATCGACCGCATTTTGGACTCTCATTGGCGGGGGAGGGGATGGCAGTTTTTGGTCCGATGGGTTGACCAAGCCCCTTCTGAGGACTGTTGGCTTTCTTATACTACACTTCACAATTGTTCCGCCCTTGATGATTGGGTGCGAAATGGTGGCGACGGGCCTGATGATCTGCTTACCTCTGTCGCCCTGCATCTGCAAAACATGTATACTCACCAGAGCAAGGATACTGGCTGGAGAGCGCTCTCCAGCGATGAAAGCACCCAAAGCAAAAATCAAAGCCTGCTCTGGGTGCTTTCGCTGCTGGGAAGTGCTCTGAACTGCTCTGAACTGCTTTCGGCTATTTAGCCGAACATACAGGTTTTGCAGATGTGTAAAATCCCTAAACTTTCCCTTTTGCCTTCTTTAATCCTTTCTTTTACTATAACATTTCCTTCTAATTTTATTTTTCATGCCCTTTTTTTTTTTTCCTTACTGCAATGCTTTTTACTAACTTCCTTACCCTGACTTGTTTTTAACTGGGTGGGGATGTAAACATACTGTTTACTAATACGCATATAGTCACATGTAGGTCACAGTATATATAGTGACTCTACCCTACAGACGATCTTACCGTCTTACCTCCATTTACTCATATCGAGTATCTTCCTGTACCTAGAGTACCTTCTCATATCGCTCCTCTTTTCAATCACAGTCGATTCCTATTATCTCGGTTCCCTCGTGAGTCCATCTAGTGTTGCCGGCGAGCATCGCCGGTTTCCATCGCGATGGGATACTTAAGTCTGCCTTTCATTGACGCAAACACATTGAAGGTGACAACTGCTGGCCTTTTTCTTTCTGGAATTGACTTTCCAGGACCCGATCTTCATCTCAACCATCCCAGTGACACAGAGCAAGAATGCATTTCCTTGGTACATAGCGATATGTGTGTGATCGCCATATCTTCATGAATGATCATCAGCCTGGAGTTTCGTCTGCGTCTCACCACAAGGTGAAACATCCTACCGCCTACCGCTCCTTGTCTAAGAAAGTATACCTCGAAGCATGCGTAGTATATTAGAGAGTAGCAGAAGCCCTATTAGTTTCAATGTTTGAAGCCTTAAATTCTCTCAAAAACCCCCAAAGATAAGTTATCGTTTTAATTTGCAGATTTTTGTACTTTCAAGCTTTATCGACGTCTTCAATTCTTCCTCACGCTACCTAGACTCGTGTTTGCAATGCCAAAGCCCACTTGATATTTAGCCTATGTAGTCCTGGGGATTGTACTACTATCTTACCACTACCGACCCAAAATACTGGGGGGGAACTAGAAAAACCATCAGAACACCCATCAAGAAAAACCTAAAAGTATTCGTCGAGAAGATAAGTAATTTATGGACGAAATGTGGAATCATGGGATGCACGTCGGAACAACAAAGAATAAGCAGGGAAGGGGATATGGAGGAAGAAGACAGCTGGGAGCAGAATCAAATCGGAATGGCAACAAACAAGGAACGTATAACTACAAAGGAATAGAAAGAGCGATGATACACGATTAGCAGGAGAGGTGGTTCGATATGTACAACTAATGGAGGGGCTGTCCGATTATCCGAAGAAAAGCATATAATTTAGACCTACTAGAAGCACGGGTATGATCGGAGGCGGAGGTACGTATGGGTACAACTGAGAAGATCAGCGTCGAAAACGATCGGGTGAAGAAAAAAGGTAGACACAATTTTCTCCAGATTCGGGTGACAGCCAACGACGACGGAAGCACCGTCGGCGGGTTGCGATGATGATGATGCACATGGCCGTAGCGCTTCATTTTCAGGGACGTCGTGATTGAACAGACGGATGACCACATGCATGAGCATTAACCTTTCGCGATTCTGTGATTTACCACTCTATGAAAATTTCCCGTCCAATCGAGCTTCAATGATCTTCGCCACCGTAGGCCCATGTACAGGGATATAATCATCCTGGAACCCCTCTGGGTACACGACTGATGGTTCGTCTGGATGTGTGAGAAAGCTATAATCGCGAAAGTGTGCGGAGAGAATTGGCAATTAAGAGATAATTGAAATTAGGCAAAATAGTCATAAAGGAGACGCAGATTGCGGGAAACAAACACTCACGTATCGTTCCAAACAGCGAAATGTTGCATACCCAACGCTCTTGCTGTCCAGTGATAGTCATGTGCGAAGCCGCCTGGGTAGAAGATCTCTATTACCGAGGATAAGCGTGTAGGAGGCATGAATACAAGGTGTGTGAGACCGTTGCCGTGTACGCCGAGTAAGATCTGGATTGGGAAACGAGCAGGTCAAGAGGCGAGTCAGAATAGATTGCATAGAGACTCACTGTGGTCCGTCCAATTACTTGAAGTTGTTCATCCTTCGTCAACTTTTCCGCTTCCATGATGATCAACTCGAACCCCTTTCTGTCTGCGGACTCTCTCAACGCACTGACTAGACTCTCATGCGACGCAGGGGTGAGCTTACGCCGGACTCCCGACTGTCGACTAATATAAGTCACCACAACTTTATGCGGCATTGGAATGTCAATTTGTTTCGTAACCCCAATATGACCATCTTCCCCCATTTTATTCTCTGCCCTCCTATCCTCCGTCCCATCCAACAGCAACTCTCTCTCCCTATACTCTTCCTGCACATCGCCCGCACCAGCAAACCTCAATACAGCGTCTCTCACAGGTTCCCACCACCCACCTACCCGCTCACCCCTCAGTCTTCCTATATTACGCATGTACTCCCATGCCTGAGCCGCGGTGCGCTGGGTGTGGCTTCCCGTCATATCATCCCGGAACGTCGCACTACGATCGATGAGCATTGCTATAGGGAACAACCATGCTCGATCCTGATCTTGGCCAGAGTTCGACCGACTGGCAGCAACCCGGTCATCCCAATCCTCCTGATGTTCGACACTCATTGAAGGATATGCCGCACGCAAGAAATATGAATTGAACCCAGGGTCATCGCGCCATCCATCTGCGGTTGCATGCATGAATATCGATCTATGTATCGGTGGAGGTGCAGGATGGTGTAACTGATAAGCGGATTCATGTTGCGTCTGAGTATCAATCGGGTACGCATTCCAATTTTCACCTCCAACGTTTGAACTCTTCTTCAAATCGGGGATCGCGGACTCGATTGGTGGAGAAAATGCGCCGTGCCAGAATGCTTGTGCACCAATCCAAAGCTCGGCGACAAAATGGTAGTAATGACGGAGGAATTGTGAAGGGTCGTTGAATAGTGCGGTATTCCCTTCAACAGTGAATACGTGATTTCTCACCCCATTTTGTACATCCCCACCCCATCTCTTCTTTGCAGCCTCCGGCGTGATAAAATCCATTATATCCGAATTCGGCTCCCTTGCAGCGATATTTTCTGGCGATCCATCCGCGAACATACTCACACTGGTCATCATTCTGATTTCCGGAAATGAGTTATTCGGGGAGAGTATAAACAGTGTCCCATTCGACATGTACAAATTTCGAAAAATGGTGTATCCAGGAGCATGGTGCATAATGGAAGTCATCGGAAGCTCAGATGCGAGATGGACTCCTGCGATGCGATGTACTTCACCCAAATACTCTGAGTCGGAAGGAATATCAGGAGCAATTGTTGCGGGTGGATCAGGGGGAGGGGGTGGTAACGGTTTAATGAACTCTGCTTGTGAGATATCATGGACATGTGTGTTTATGATAAACGAGGTTTCTGTCGGCCCGATGGAGTAGAACACTGTGACCAGATGCATCATCGTCGCTCCAAGGAGGAGGAGCATAATGTCCCGCCATGAAAATTGGTGTCGAAAGACAGTCATTGGGCTTTGGTGACCACCGAGTAAAAAACGTAGGTAAGCTCTAGGTCAAACTGTTTTATAACGGAAGCTCTTTAGTTAGGTCATTCGTCAGACGACCCCATGGCCAAAGTAGTCTAACAATTCGCCGACTCACTTCAATTCCTCGGCTGATTGTTCCACAAATACCACAGCTTCCACAATCTGTCCAAAACCTGTCAGTGGATACATTATCAGTCTAGTTTTAACCTTCTCGACGGCTTTAACATACCGATGTTAGTGTGTTGATGCAGACCAGCGCAATGGAACTCGATTCACTGACGGAGACTCGAAGGTGTCCTCTACAGAGGTTTCTGAGGTAAAAAGGTACGATGCATTCCTGATGCATCCTGCTGAAAATATGAGGACATCAATTTCAAGGCACAAATTAGTAAACAAATCATCAAAACAGTCATCAAAACACATTTCTGGTTTGAACAGCTTTGAATGTTCTATGTATACCGTATTCCGGGGACGTTGCGGGACCAATTCTGGGGAAGCAAAATGTACGTACCCATGATGGAACTTGCGGGAGGATAAAAGAATGTGCAATGTGCTAATGCTGCATAATTACTACGTCTTCTGTTTGCAGGATGTTGCAGGCTATTGCAGGCAATCCTAGGCAATCGCTTGCTTCTTTGCAATGGTAGGGAACAGAAAAGGCTCAAGACCGACGGGGAGAGGTGGGAGTATCGGGAGCCTCGGCTGTAAGTACAGCAAGAAGCCGTCGGCAAATTGTACACCTCGGCCCGAGATATACAAGGACGCGCAAACATCCACCAACTCAAACACATTATCTATGTCTTGACCACAGCGCTGCCTTCCTTACTCACAACTTATGCACGCTCTAACGTATTTGCGGCCGCCTAAATCTTCACTGCCAGAGGTCTGCAAACAAACGTCACGTGCGTTGAGAGATCGTCTGAAACGCGTTTCCAAATATAATTTAATCAAGTATAGTTGAGCAAGTCACTTTGCCGGAGTGGTTAACGGGATCGCCTGCTAATATCGGTAATCAGATGACTCCGATCTTCAAAGCGGTTGGGCTTTGCCCGCGTGTGTTCGAATCGCACAGGTGACGAAGATTTTTGTCCTATGGATTGCCTTTTTACCTCTTTTTTAGCATGCATTGTTGCCAAAGATCACAGCGAAGACGGGAGCAACGTTCGAAAAAAAGCAAATGTCCCAGGATGATCAAACTTCAGTTAACCACTCCGGCAAAGTGAGAATCTAATGAGGTGCGCAGAAAGACCTTGTCCTTTACAGTGACAGCTACTGGTAACTTGTGCATGGATGCCCATGCTCAGGATAGGATAGGATATGATATGAATTATACTGGCTATAACAACCACAAATGGAATTCGGATCCCTCTTTTCAACTAGGCCCCACTGTGTGGATTGCACACCTTGCTTGAGTTCGAGATCAAAAATGCGGCGCGCATAGGGCGCGCCGCGAGGTGAGGTGTCCAATTAAAGCAAGATGATTGAAGTGGTCTGGCTGATAACGCTGAAACCAAACATAGCAAAAATGTGCCTGCACATCGAGAGGTCAAATACTGAGTGGAATAGACCTTGCAAGCAAGGTGATTTGCCTCAAACGACCCATTTGGTTAAACCACTCCGGCAAAGGGCTAGTAGCAAACAGTGATCAACAAGTCATCCTTTTTAAAGTACGTCTTAAATAGTTCCAGCTTTTTACCTACATTATGCAATACATGGATATAAGCATCACTCATAAAATACAGAAAGCATTGCATATACATAATCGTCTACATGCAACTCCTCGATGCTGCCAATTTGAAGACCCCTGCTCGAAAAAGCCAAAAGAAGAGTCTGCCAGAGTTCGTGTCGAATCGTGACCGCGTGCGCAGGGACTTGGCAACTCTGTGCGTATAATCGTCGTGCGGGGCTCCTCGAATAAGTACCAGACCGAGGAAATGGATGGAGAGCGTGCAGAATCATATATAAAAAAGGTAGATGGAGGGAGGTGTGAAAGGGTCGTCTACGACGACTTCAAACTTCCTCCTCGTCCACGGATTTACTCTTCTCGTCCGCGGGCGACACTGCGTTGACAGTCACATTAGAATCCGCGCGCTCCCGTTGCCGTATAAATCGCATTGACTTGTTAACTTTTTCGGCGAGACACCAGACAGCCCATGCACCGTAGCTGTTTTCAGGACACATAGACATCAGTAAATGCAAAGCCGGCAGAGAAAAGAAGGGAACGAAACACACATTTGAGTACACATCAGGAGCACGATGATGGTGACAAGCATTACGGACAGCGCAATGTCCTTGGATGAGGTGTGGAATTGCGCAAGCTTTTGAGCCCAGAATGCGAGAAGATAAGCAGCAAAGGCAAGCTTGAAGATGCTGAACACATCATTCTATAAGACCAAAAAAATGGAAGGCAGGAAAACAAAACCCACAATGATTGGACGGCGCCGAATCGGAGCATATCTCGAGTCCATCGGAGAGGGAAACGCAGGCGGTCTGCAAAAAAAGCCGACGGGGAGAGATAAGCTTCCACTACGAAACATAGGAAGATAACCCTTACACATGAACAAGCCTATGAAAACACTCTGCTCCGTCGTGGCCTGGAACAGCCATATCTCACCCGCCGCAACAATTTGCGGATGTCCAGTATACGCCAACACGCTTAGCAACAACACAATTGCAAAGATTGTGCAAAAATGGTGAATAAGCAACGGCCATCGCATAGACGGGCGATAAGTGAGTTCAAAGATGTATAAACCCGATATTAGGAGGGTACCCGCTTTGAGAATGTTCACATTGTCGAATGTGAACTTGCTCGCGAGGATTGGGGAGGCGACGAGTTGGAGGATAAGAACGGTAAAAGTGACGAATGTGTCGAGGACATAAGTGACGGTATTTCGCTTGTTCTCAAACGACATTTCATCATATTGAACGGAGAACCGGTTCAGTATGAATTCAGTGAATTTGGCCATCATGTACAAGACGAGCGTGTAAAGAACTGTGGGAACAGGGTACTACGAGAGAATATCAGCGATATATTTGCTTGAATATCGTGGAATGAACTTACAAAGGCGACAGTAGTCATTGTGATTGCTTGAGTCTGGACTTTGACCAGTTGCTGAACACCGTTTTCCGATATACCTTTCATATCAGCAACATTGTAGCTGGAATTGTACGAAAGCAGGGTTTGGTTGAAGGGAACAGTACTTGTGACTTCGAGGTAGTTACGATCTCTACACATATCGCCTCCAGTTGGACCGATGTGAGGACAGTGCACGTCAGGCCGGAACTGCACTAGATCTAAAAAAACATCGGACAAGTCACTACGGTAAGCCCATGCAAAATGGAAGGAGCCAAAACAAAACATACTCTTGTGGATGTACCGACACCAGCCAGTGTTCATTCCTCCTTGCCATGATTCGCCGAAAGGTAACGCTTCCATGAACGTCAAGCAAGCGTCCTGTGAATCATATTGCTGAAATTCTCCAGTGCAATATAGACTTGAGACCGCACAAACATCGGCGGCAGTCTTGAGTTGTATCAGTTCGGTGAAGTTCGTCGATGTACTGTTCAATTCCTCTGCGATTTGAGGCGCCAAGTACGGGGCGGTATAGGCCATAAGTTCGTCTATTCGACGAAGAATGGCGTCATACGAGACAACCTTCATGCTATCATCGTCGAAGGCCATGAACATATCGATCTGGAGAGGGATGCTCAGGTTGACTGTGGGGAAGGCCATATCGCTGATATAGCTGACGGCGACAACTGGAGGCTCGACGACGGCAGATTGTATCGTCATGCCAGAAGGAATTCCAATCAGCTGTGTTGTAGTATCCAACAGTGTATCTTGGTAAAAAAGACCGAAGAGGAATTCAGCGTTGAGATCCTGACCAACAAATGTCGTGATAACATCGATGCGACCAACTACGTCTGAAGAGAGTGGGGAAGGAGTTGATCCGTTAAAAACCCCTGCTGGGTTGGAAAATCTACGGAAAAGATGAAATCAAGGTTTGTTTAGAAAAGACAGAATACATACGCAGCTCCAAAGACATCGAGAGCTTCAAGGTATTCGTAAGGCTGTCTGTACCCTGAACTCGAACGAACGAGAAGTACTAGAGCGAGTACAGGTCCTTTGGAGAACATTTAGAGGGCACAGCATATCCATCAACTCGAAGGCCCTTTATAGATATGTTAAGAAGGAGGAGAATGTGAACCTCACAATCTGAGTAGGGACAGTTTGTACCTTGATGGACTTGATGGATCCTTGGCGGCGCGATCAGAGAATAGAATTCGGACGAATAGGATCAACCACTCACCGATGGAACAAAGGTACTTACTGCCAAGTACTGCCTCCAGCTGCTTCCATAAACTTTTTTTTTTCGTAGGATTATAAAACACGTTCAAAACGTCCCGGAAAAGCAGAAAAACTCATTGCATTCGCGTTCTTCATTTGCTTCCATCATGAAAGAGCTGCAGGCCTTAGACTTTGAGTGAAAATAAGCGACGCTTAGTGAGTGGTAGCAAATCGGAGCGTGAATTTCCGGTTTTGTGGCAGCTAAAGGCATCCAGAGTTTTCAGTATGTAGTCGTGATTCTGTCGCGAGCGGCCGCATGCTGGAAATGAAAGCGTGAACCAGACACTGTGCAGTACTTCGTCAACTTGACTTTGAGGAAGAAACAGGGAAGAACTTGAAGCTTAAGCTTGATCGTCGGGCTAATCATTGAATAATGAATCAAGAAGAAAGTCGATGTCGACACGTGATGTGATTTTCCGACGCATCCGACGCGTCACCGTTAGATCCGATAAAACTTGTTTCGATACGGAGATCCTCCACTTTCCTCCACAAACTAGAGTCTTATCAGACCCGGTGGAACTTAGCACTATTTGCAGCTAAATGGGCTCACCCCCATGTACCCGAGTTGCCCTTTGAAGAACTAGCGAAGTTTCGGAAGAACTCTTCAACTCAAAGTCAGCTCAAGTCTCAGATCTCAGGACCAACTAATACGTTCTGCCCACTCCACCACATCTCGGGCCTTTTTTCATCGACTCTTGAGCCTCTTACAGTTGCTGCTGTTATGTTCTTTCTCACTCAACACTGGTGGAACTGCTCAAAATTGTGAAAAAAAATCGTAAAACACTACTCTCGACATCCAGTGATCCTCAAATTTCCTAGCGTGAACCACCGTATCCTACAGCAAATGTACAGCTTGGAACATTCAAATTTCCAACAGTACCGCAGCCGTGGTATTGTGCTCGTCCGCAGTCGCCCCATCACTACTATGTAGTTCTTGTTTTCTACCCTTCAAGCTGGCAAGGAATATTGCTAAATACTTGAGCTCATTCGTCTGGCTCTTTGGCCCTCTCCGATCCCAAGGACAGCACATTGGCCTGTAGTGCTCGCTTCGAAACTCTTCAGTTTCTTTGTCGGTGCTGGCACACCTCCATATAGTACAACACATATCCGCGGGTAATCTGACTTCGGGGAGGTGACAATAGCTGTGGTTGTTTACTTTCGGTTCCACAACTCTACTATGAACATTGAAAGCGAAGTAATACTGCTAGCCGGTAATACTTCGCTTTCACATCGTCATAGTTGGTTGCTGACATGCTGTAACAAAGATAGATAAAATTTACCAGTGAGTGCATTGATATATTCTTGCGCATGTCGGGAGTGCGAACCTGTGTCACTAGTACGTCTCTCTGTCTGACGGAAGGATGTCCCCTATCTAGCGAGTTGAAAGAGATTGCAGGGTTTGTGAAAATTGATTTATTTAATCAGATTCAAATTGTTCTTCGGCTGCTCTGAATTTCTGAAAATTACCGTGTCGGTTCCTTCCCTTCCTTCCTTCGTAGCCATCTTCTGAAGCCTGACATATACGTCTTTCCGGAATCGGACCGCTCCGGGCCACGTGTCATTTTGCTTTTAGCGAGAGCTCTGGAGGTATTTGGAATGTTCACCTATACGAGCCTATACGCTGCCCACTAGCTCCCTGAGGTTCTCTCTCATCATCTGTACCCTCTCATTCAACTACGCAGCTTCCATGATCAATTTTTGAATACTAAGCGGGCTCCGGTGACGGGAAG